ATAAAAACCGACGAGGAAAGACCACCGGAAAAAGTGCACCGGCTTCTGCCGAGAGTTGTTGAAGAGCGGTCACTACTTATTTTCTGAAATGATGAGACACCAGTCATGCCGTTACAGTGCTTCATCTGAACTTTCACCAGTCGGCTGGATCCGCACAGGCTGAAAACCAGGCGCCCTGACGTTACATGTGCTCACAGGATCTCGGTAGCAACAGTGACGGATTCTGCGGGGACAGGTGGCATGGACTGATGATGAGACCCAATTCATCTTCAGCTACCGTGAATAAAGAAGTTGTGTGTGGACGATGGTTGACAAATGTAAAAGTTATAATGCACGTTTCCATACATTGAATGGTTTAACGAACCTGAGCACAGATTGTGAATTTCAGCGGTTAAAACTCTTTTTTTTATACAAAACTCTCCCGATTACGGGGTCGATTTTATGTCCGGAAGATGAAAAGATTCTTTTGTATCAATGACCATATTGTCAGGTCTAAGTTTTCACACGTCCTGGTCGTAAACGAAAGTTCATATAGAATTGGAGAGTGTGTGGGAACTAGTTTGTAAGAAATCTGGTACATCTTATCCATGAGCGAAGCAACGGGGATCATCCTTTTCTCTGTGAACAAATGACAAGGCCTGACGAAATCCTCTTTACAGTATCAACACAAGAGTATCGTTGAGAAAAACTTCACAAATTTGGACTTACGAAGGAACATTTTCAATCTAAATACCTAAACTCACATTGGTCAGCAATAACCTGCCAGCATCTCATCGGAATTTCTAAATAAAAGAATGAACAATGATAAAATTATCGATTAATTCGTGGTGTGTTCAGGAACATATTTCGAGTGTGTGGTTTTTTACCCCAGTCCGCTTTACATCATCCGATTTATTAGACATATACATGAGAGATACCGGAGACGATACAAAATCTAAGGTGGGAGTTATTTTTTTGCGGAACAGATGCTCATTTTAGATTAGAAAGCAGTCGTAGACCATATGGTAACATGGCCCGCTTTATAGCACGAACAAATGTTGAATGCAATTTTCCTTTTTGTACGTGATATGGACATTAGACAAAATGATCGGATCCAGGGAAACAGACCACCCGAAACCAGACCGAGAAGAGGCCGAAAAGGGTGGGTGGGGTGGGGTTCAAACAGGTAAGAGCTCCCTGTGCTCTGGCGTTGTATTTATTCGTTTGTGCTTTAGAAAAGTTTTTTTGCGACCGGAATGGAGCAAATGGACGGGGATTACAATCAGCTCTAGGATGACTGATAAAAGGATCAGACACGGGTTCGGTGATGTGACCCGGGTACGTTACTCCACGGGAGCAGATGAACCACCAAACAGAAACTGAGAACCTATCAAGTGGGCAGTCTGTCTTTGGCTGCAGGAGAGAAACCAGATTAGAGGTAAACAGAATACAAGAGCCAGTACGGACGGATGTCAGCATTTCTTTTAGGTAATTCAGATATTTTACCGACAATGTCACTTGTTAACTGCCCAAGAAAATTAATCCGCTTTAGTCTGGGTAACTTAGCAGTATCGCATGCACCGATGGGCGAATCACGGAAATTTTCATTTTTATGAAGACTATTAGTCCGTAAATTGTTTGGGACGCAGTCTGGAACTAGAGGCATATGATTTTGTGATAATGGCACAGTGAATGATGAATGGGCAACGGTTAAGAAATGGATACCCGGGGGATTGAAATGTGCACATTCTACTGTCTATATACCCATTGTGGTGTATATGCGTGTGTGATCAAAATACGTTCATAGTTTTACAGATGAATTCATCCGAATAGTCAGTCATCATCCAACAAAACATTTTGACTGTGTCAATGGTACGCATTGTTTTATCATTCGTTAGAGTTCATTTTCTAGCTCTTTGGGTCCAAAATTTGATGATCAGTTTGTAACCGTGTCCATGTGTTCTCACGTTCGTTTTAGTGCAACAGTCATTGGGATACAGCAACATTCAGAATAGCTAATCATCCATCGACCGGTTTCCTTTCCAACACTAAAATCTATTCTAGCCAAACCTGTGTTGAACACTTAGAACAGACCGTAGAATCATGGCAAACAGACGTTCCGCCCGGTCCGGAATCCTTGCACAGATGAGACACAGTTAATCTTCACAGCATCCGAAAGGCTCAGTATGATCTGCCGTGTGTGTGTGACTGGTCACATTTCCCTTGCACATCTTTAAATGCCCCTAGAAGACCACGAATCTGGCAATCGCCTCTGCTGAGGAAGCCTTACGCACGGCGGAGGTGTTTCCCACCAAAGTGAGAGGACGAAAAGCCGACATGCGGGGGCTACAATCCGGTTGGCAGACCACTGGTAGTTCACCTAGGGGAGTTGGCCAAAAACCCTGATTCCAAACCAACCAAGAAGAGGTACGTGAACCACACACACCTCGCTGGTTGTGGCAGTGGTCACCAGCTCGATTGGGCATCGAGGTGAACTCGGTACCTTGGGCGTTTGACCCCGTCCAAAAGGTGTATGATTCGAAGAACTGGACACCGGCCCCAAATGGATTGCGGTTTTCACACACCGCCCCGCTGCCTTGCGGGTCAGGCTTTGGCTGGCCGAAGGCTCCGATTGTGGACTCCTCAAGAAAATTCACCTACCTTGGCCTGGGCAACCTGTCAGTATTCGGCCCTCATGCAAATCATGGAAAGTGTTTTTATCAAGATTATTGTACTAGGATTTGTTTGGCACACAGCCTGGCTTCAGACGTGTGTGAAATATATATATATATATATACCGTCTCATTTTTCCACCCGTAACTCCTGTTTTCCTCCATCTTGAATAATGATTGCATAATAGTCTGTTCAATAAAAAGGTACTTTACTATTATTAGGAGATCAATAAATCTGATCGATTTTTCCTAAATTACAGAGAAATGCAAATGATCACCGGATACTATGAACGTCGATTATATTCATCTGCGGGGACTGATCAGACAACGAGTGATTTCAGAGGATAAAGAAGGCAGATATTCCATGTAATCTGCCATATATTGCCATGGTAAGAATGGAAAAGGGCTCCCAAAAATGCGTGTATCTGAGTGTTTAGTTCATGTGTCTGACACACACCCCCTCCGCCTTCCCACGTAATTACCCAGTAGTCTTTGTGTATCATAGTGTGATCAGTCTTACGGTTTGAGTTTTCAAACCGCTTGGTTGAACAATCTCCAGTCTGTTGCACTCTAACCGGTGCTGATCAATTGTAGACAATTCTGTGCCGGAGAACGTCCAGCCGGAGCACTGTTCGACTTGGAAATCCAGTTATGCATCAAGATGGCTAAATGGTTAGAAGGGTTTGACAGACGCCGCAAGGCAGTATGGATCGGTGCAATGTGTAGTTATTCTTTGTTCGCTTATTTAGAAATATCTTTTTGCTGTTACGAGGAGATTATGCTTGTGGTTACTGGGTACAAGGCATCTGCCCACGTTGTTCAACTGTGGTTGCCTCCGTACTGAAGTTTTCTGCTCTTCAACAATCAGGTCCATTTCATCACTGCTCACCACTGCTCAACTGAATGCGCCCTCAAAGACTTTCATTGTACGCCATGAGTGCATCGAACTACGGCTATATCTTCTCATCGACAAAAGTAATCGGCTGGCTTCTTACCTTTAACACAGCCGGTGCAGTGACAGACGTTCGAACGCTTTCAGACACAACCGTCTGGCCCTGTATGACCTCGTACGTTGAAGTTCCACCACTTTGATTTTGCAATACTTCCCTATGCTTCACTTGGTATATTTTAGTTGATCGTTAATCACTTGCTGAAATTAGCCGACTGAGAAAGTGGCAATGTGAACGTAAGGAGTGGCATCTGATCGTTAAAGATGATAGCACAGAAATAATCAGAATGAACTCCAAAATCGGGGCCGGGGTTTAGAAAGGCGTGATGACATTGGAAATGTACAGCGTCAAGCGAGACCTTCTAAAGTGTTGTTCTTTCACTCTTCCACAAACTTACTTCATTTAATAACATAGATATTTGTACAGTTGAGTACCAACAAGTAGGAACAGATCTATCAGGGACTGTCGCAGGAAGTTAGGCAGTCATGCAATGATTTGAATCGCACAACTCCCGTCCGAACTGATAACGACCTGTGACACTTGAAAACCCTGTCAAGGAATAATCTGTCCAAGGTACCATTTGAAAATGAAAAAGCATATTAAACTGGATCGCGTGTATCGTTAACGTTCATGAGACTGGGTTTACCGTGTCAACACCTATGTGAGGGTCGAATGAAGCCATTTCAGCGACGGTCTTTGTTACACAAAAGATGATCGATCGATCGAGGAAGGCGTTCGACAGAAATGACTTCAGTTCAGTTTATTTGGCGTTGAACGCAATCTGTGGTAATCGTGAAATGAGTGAAGAATGTATGGAATAAGATGACCGACAATCGTGTTACCAATGGATTACGAGCAGCCTATAGTTGAATAAACATAGTTTAATGAAGGAACTGTATAGACGAGAGCTGAGACAAGGGGATTCTAAAGAAAATGAATTTGCAAGAAATATCGTGTGCAGTTCGGAGTCTTATAAGGAAGTCCCAATGGAGAAGAAAACACTCAGAGCTAGTTAAATCCCATTAGCGAAGACAAAAGATTAATCGATCACCAGAACGAGAGATGAAGCACCGAAAGGGAATTTATTTGCTGACTTGTGTGCTTTAAAAATGACGATTGTAATTTACAATTATTTATCTTGACATACTTGACAAAATATTTTGTTTTATCCTTTAAAATATTCCCCTCAGCAACAACAGGGCCACTTTACCCAACACTTATCCCCGTCTGGTTTATCGCTCTGGATTAATAACGTCGGAACAGAGTTTCGGTACCGTGTCGGCGTGATCAAAAAAGAAATTCACAATATGCAAATTGAAAGATGCGTAATGAAACAGAAAAAACAACATACTGGATGATCCCAAAAATAACGTGCCGGCACGAAGATGCGTGTCTTGGATGACTAGAACTCGAGTGCCGTTCGACAGATCAGCCAAATCCAGATCACTTCGTCGAATATCCGGAGTTGGTGGACGGTTGTGAATCCCATGCATCAATCGATCGTCCTGATAGGTCCAGTCCCGAGTGCCACAAGTAGTAGTCCGATCTGGCCCGGACTCGTGAACCTCTCCGTTTCGTGCATCTTCATGTTGTAGCTGCTGTGCTGACGACTGTCGTTGTGATAAAGTCGATTTCGTCGGGGTCAAGTGATGACCGTCAGCGGAATCCATCGATTCGGAGGCAGAAAATGAAACACATGGGGCGGAACATGGTGCAGTCAACGGGGATCGCAGTGGACTGACTTGTAAAGTAAGATTCGGCGCAGTCTAGATGACCAAAAACAAAGGGCGGATATAGAGGAGAATGAGGTGAGTGGTGAAAATCACAATGCGGATTGCAGTCAACACGTTTATCAGCATATATTTATACGTTTATGTTCTTTTTATTTATTTAGGATACAAATATACTGTCACGAAGGGGGGGGTCGAGACCAGGTTGCCTGGGGAAATGCAGCGTCGGAGAAGATGGGTAAGGGCAGAATTCAAAGTCAGAACTGCCCGGTTGGCGCTTTTGATCACTTAACCAGTGGAACAGCACCGTCCATAAATATTCACTAAAGGAACAATGCTATCATTTGCCAGGATATCACTGTACACATACGATCAAAGGCAATCAGAAATGCAAAAATAAATATCATAGAACTGGTTGAAATTTGCGTACAGGCACATATATCGATAGGTACGGGATATTCCTTTGGGATTGGCCGAATTCGAATCCCGATTACAGTTGACAAACCATATCACCGATTTTCAGTTTGATACTTTTCGTGATGTTGCGACCACCAAGAACTAAACGATTTTATGGTCGCCTAAACAGAAAGGTGAAGCGATGGGGGGGGGAGGGACACCGTACATAAAACCTGTATATGTGTG